TTGTTCCATTCACTTTGATTTCTTGTTACTGTGGGTTAATACTGGCTTGTTTAAATTGTCATTCCTTTGTATTTTAAGAACTTTTCCCTGACTGCATGAAAAAAAAGTTATTTTAATTATAAAATTTAATCAATACATGCTGTACAATGTCAAGCATGGGATTTTCTTTCTTTTGTGTAGTTGCTTTATCTGTATTTCATTTGCTGTGTTCAGAAGTTCTGGGCAGTTTTCTTATGTCATATTCTGCAGTATAGTAGTCAGGGTTTTTTGATTTGTCATTTTTCTGGAAACCTACAAGTTTAAATTATCTCTGTGCTTTCAAGGCCATTTGCTTTGGTTTGAATAGAATTATAGGTTTTATAGTTTCTTTCTACATATCTTCTCTTAAAATTTTCTTCTACCTCTATATTCTTGTGTTCGAAATTCTTTTTGGGAATTACCTAGATGAAGAAGATAGTTGAAACCCATAGAAGCTGATGAGATCATCAGGTGAGATTTTACAGAGGAAGAAGAGAAGGTTTATACATACCTTTGGAGGAGGAGGGATGGGATTCATGGATAGTGGGCGATAATCTAGCAAAGGAGACTGACAAGAAACAGGAAAAAAACCAGAAGAGAATAGTGTCACAGAAACCTAAAATAAGGAGAGATTATCCAGGAAGAGAGAGTGGTGACCCAGAGGCTGAAGAGAGGTCAGGAAGTAGGAGTAATTGAAAAGTTATTAGATTTAGCAGTTAAGAAATCATTGGTAACAATAGTTTCGGAAGCCAGATGGCAGAAAGTTTAGAAGTGAGAGAAGTGGAGATACCAATTGTAAATGCCCTTTTAAGGATATAGCCATGAAGGGGGAGAGGAGGGTAAGAAGATTGCGGGGATAGATGTATCATGTGACTTTATTTTTTTAAAGTGTGGGGAGACATGGACATGTTTGGAAAGCAGAGAAGGGCCCAATAAATAGGGAGAAATTGAAGAGAGTAATGAGAGAGTAGTGATGATAATGGGAGCAGTCTCCTAGAGAAGATGGGAGAGGATGTTCTCAAAGGTGCATGTAAAGGGGCTTGTCTTCACAAGGAGGAGGACAACCTCTTCAGGAGAGACAGATGGAAAGAGAGGTAGTAGGGTGAGATGTCTGAGTTATTTGTGATGAAGAGGTGGGAAAAAAGAAGGAGCTCAGCAAATAATCTGTTTTTTCGAGGTTTCCAGATGAGAAGTTGTTGGGAAGGGATGCCGTGGGAAGATTGAAGAGGGATAAAAATATTTAAAGTAGTTAAAGTTAGTTACAGTAGCCACTGTGATAAGTAAAGCCATGTAGTAGAGGGAGAGTAGAATAGCCAGTGCACAGATGGATGGCATGGAAAAGAACAAAGGAATGCAAGAATTTGAGCTCACAAGGTCACTAAGAATGAAGAATAGAATTGAGTGTTACAAGGTATAGAGAAAGATGGAATGATAAAAGATTAATCAGATAAAGGCCTTTAGAATTTATGAGCGTAGAAGTGGAATATTTGTGGATGATGGCAAGGTGGCTGAGGTGTAGTATTGAAGTACACCATGGGAATTGAGTAGTTGGGAAAATTGGAAAGTAGCGTGGTTGAGGGAGTATCACATTGTGAGAGATGATCTCTGAGAATCTCTCAGGAATGAAGCCTCCTCAGGGAGTAAATCGTTTCTTGTTCTGTTGAAACACTTGAAGCTGGTTGACCTTGTAAAGAAACATGTTTTTCAACACATCTTGTACTTTATCAGACCTTCTCCTTCCTTTCTAAAACTGTATACTCTAAAAAGAAAAAGAAAACCTCTCGCCTCTCCTTGTCCTTGTCCACAGACAAGTTGCAAAAGTGTCTTTGTTCTCTTCATTGCTGGGGAAGATTTATGTGAATAGATTGTGCCCCTGAGGCTCAGCCAGTGGGCCAAAGGGAGGGGGTTAGGATGGGCTATTGCGCTAGGATCTGTATAAACCTATTTTGAACAAAGTGCTCTTGCACTCTCTGGCTGACGCCATTTTGCAAGACACAGGGGTGTCCTTTCTCGAGAAAGCCAATAAAGCAACTTTCCTTTTGGCAATTATTGTCAAGACTCTGATTCAAATTTGGGTAGGTGGTCTTTTGTCCCACACAATATGTATGTTGAAATTCCCTAGTATGGTGTGGGAGAGAGAAATAGGCATTTATGTATTATTTATATACCCTGTACCAGGCACTGTGTTTAGTGCACTACAACCCTAATTGCGCTCTGTGCACTATGGCACCAAGAGTCATTGATTTCTGTTTTAGTCTGTTTTAGTTTTCAGAGTCTATTTCTTGGTTACCATTTTCTCTTCTAAGTTATTCTAGTTCTTTCCTTAAGAGTTTTTATTTTGTTTTAAAATCTTTTGCTACATTTATTTCTAGATATTCATGTAATCCTTGTGGAAAATCCTTTTTTTCCTTTGAGTCTTTGCTTGTAGTTGTTAGGGAGTTAGATTTGTAGTATTTTTTTTTTTTTAATCTGGGCAGTATTTTCTTTGATGTACTTACCTTTCCAATTTTATTTTAGTTCCTGAATTGCAGCTTTGTGCCAAGGCTTGTCTCCCTGCCCCTAGCAGCATTTTTGGGTGGGGTAGTTGGCCCTACTTGGATTTGCTTTGGGTTCTTGCCTAGGTCCTGGAGTTTAAGCCTCCTAGATCTTTGAGATTCATAGTACTGGAATCTCGGGACAATACTTTTGTTGTTGTTGTTTTGACATTATCACCCTCTTTTTTAAAAAATTAATTAATTTATTTTTAGTTTTCAGCATTCACTTCCACAAGATTTTGAGTTCCAAATTTTCTCCCCATCTCGACCCCCCCCATGGTATGCATTCTGAATACCCCTAATCTGCGCTCCCTTCTATCTCTCCCCCCCTTCTCTTATCCCCTTCCCCTTCAGTTTTCCTGTAGGGCAGGATAGATTTCTATACCCCATTTCCTGTATATTTTATTTCCCAGTTGCATGTGGAAACAAATTTTTTTTTTTAACTTTTGTTTTTAAAATTTTGGGTTCCATATTTTCTCTCTTCCTCCCTCCCCACCCACCCTCATTGAGAAGGCAAGCAACTCTATACAGGTTATACATGTGTAGTCATGCAAAACACTTCCATAGTAGTCATGTTGTGAAAAACTAAGTATATTTCCCTTCATCCTATCTCACCCCCCATTTATTCTGTTCTCTCTTTTGACCCTGTCAGGACAGTTTTTGAGACCTCAATGCCTGTAGGCCAGGGCTGTCTGGGTCTGAGCACTCTGGCACCTTGTCTGCTATTTCTTGGGGCTTACGAGATCCCTACCCTGGGGTTTTCAAGGGAAGCTCTCTGCTCTTGCTGCCTCTGTCAGTTGTCCTCTCTGTGGTCAGTTGTGCTGGAATTCACTTTTCTTGAGTCCTATTCCCATTGGGCTTCTGGCTGATTTTTGTGCACTTTGGGATGGAAAGTCACATTTTGTAGTTTCTCATTGGATTTCTTGATCTTTATTTAATGTTAGTATAGTGTTAGCTTTAGGGTTTTGCTTGAGTATGTGTGTGGAAGCGGGGCAGCTTGTTTCCTGTTTGAGCTACCATTTTGTGAGGAAACTGAGAGACTGAAATAGGCACTATTGTGTGGTTTTGTCTTTGATTCTCAAACAGGACCGTGACATCAGAAAAATGATGACACGACTTTCAGTTGACTTTGATTTGAGTGAGGGAGGGCTGTGAAAAGTCACCAGCCTCACTTTATCCTCCAGGGCTATTTGGGTCCAGTGGCCAGATGTAGGTCAGGACGACTGGAGACAGCCCAGGATATAGTGGAAGACCTTGGCCCTTCTAAGCCAAGGTCTTTCCAGGTTCTCACTTTGAGTGAAGCAATGCCCATTCAGTGAATAGACCTCTTTAAGAAGTGAGTCAAAAGATGATCCCTTTAATAATTAAAAAAAAAAAAATAAAACTGGGAGGAGAAGACCCTCAGGGTTATTGGCCAAAAGAGAAATTGTTACTATTTACATTCACTCTGAGCCAAGAGGGCCCAAAAAATAACCATTAAGTGGTGCTTGGCAGGGACCTGTTGTCCAATCCATGAGAGCCAGAGTGATTTGAGTTTAAGGTTTGGTCTTTGAGAAAGAAATCTAGCAAGTAAACCCCAAGATAGCTAGTAGCTTTCAGGCCATCAAAATTTACCTTACTTTGGGTAGAACCACCCTCAGGTGAGAAGAGAAGAGGGGAGAGGAGAGGGGAGGATAGGCACACTAAATTCATTAAGGAAGGAAGAAGAGTGTCTTAGAGGTAGATAGGTAATGGTTACCAGGATCTGGATTGGGTGATATATTTGGATAGTATGAACCTCAAAGGAGGAGAAGCTTCTGAATGTTATAGTCCTTTGCATTCATGTACTACAGTTTGTTTTGCTATTCTCCAGTTAGTGAACATTTACTTTTTTCATTGCTTTCTCATAAATGTTACTCTGCTTTGAAAATTTTTTATATATATAAGACCTTTCTGTCTTAGCTGTAGCTGTCCTAGAGCTTTTAGCCAGACAAGGGATGAGGACAATAATAAAAGATAAAATAATTAATTTTGGCTGTATGAAATGAAGCATTTTTTGTATTAACAGAATCAGTACAGGAGAAGAATTGTCAGTTGGGGGAAATTTTGCATTAAATATCTCTCATTAAGTACCTGGTATTCAAGATATAAAGAGAACTAACACATGTATACATTACATGTATGTGAGAGCCATTGTTCAAAGGTTTTCAAAGGAATTACAAACCACTCTACTTTTTTAATCCTTATTTCATTGTACTCCAATCCCTGTTCTCTACTACAAGCTTCTTTCATCGTAATAGTTATCTATTTTTTGGGCAAATGTTAGGTGATCCATTTGCGGATTTCTTTTTCCTGATAGTGTTTAATTCCTTCTTTTAAAAAAAATTTTTTAATGGGAATTGGAAAACTGTTAAATTGTAACACATGAAATGTTAATATTGAGTAACCTTTTCCTTGCTTTCCTTTCAGTTGGAAAGACATCTTTGATCACCAGATTCATGTATGACAGTTTTGATAACACCTACCAGGTATGTATTACTTAGATTTTAATTGAAGCATAAAACATAATTACATTTGATGGAACATAAAAGTAACAAACATTTTCACTATAAGATATATATTTAATAGATCTATCCGTTATTAACCAAATAATCTCAACAGGCATATGCTTTCCTTTCCATGAAGTTCACCCTTCAAATGCCAAATAACTTCATACTCCATATCTCCACCTATTTTTTTTTTTTAGATTTTCCCCTCTAAAATATTTACAAATATTTTTTCTTTATGCTCTTTAGCTTTTGTTTTCCTTTAAAAATTTTATATCTGTGTTTCTTAAATTTAGATCTAGTATATATCATAAGTGTAGTTTAAAGTTCTTGTTGTTTTGGTTTTCATTTACTAAAGACTACAATATCCCCCACGGATTCTACCATCTGTTGAAAGAGTAGACAGTAAACCATTCTGGAATGGTCTGAATGTATCTCTTGCTTGTAGTGCTAGAGAAATTGGTTTTCAGGATATTTTTCAGTTCTAAAATACTGTTGTTGCGGTCTAGGGGTCTTGGGGACCCTGAAATGCAAGGGCAAAGGGCATGAGTCTGCCTCAAAGGAATTCAACCACTCAAGCCTTCATTCAGTCCAAGTAGTTTATTAAAAAACTGCTTGGGGTGGGTGAAATTCTTAGTGAGTCTGCACTATTTGTGATGCCAGTATAAGTGGGCCAGATTTTAAGAATCTGAGCAATTGATGAGGGTAAGATGGATATTTTATACAGAAAGACTGTGGGAAGATCTGGATGGGATTAAGGATTGGCAAGTAGCCTGGAATAGGGCTGGGTGCAGACAATGGAAGGAGTTAAGTGGGGGAGAGCCCCAGTGAAAGGGCAGTTAAAAGGATTATTGAGTAGGATGGGCCAGGTGCCTTGGAGTCTAGGTCCCAAAGACATGGTCTTTTCCTTTTAGGGGACCAGGACAATCCTATCCCCATCACTATGACCTTTTCATCTAAAACTGAGTAATTCTAAGATTCCACAGTTTTTCTGTTGGCCTAGGCATAGAGTGTCAGTGCCTGTGTTGTTTTATTTTTAGTAAAGGCTACTATTTAAATAAATATATACAACTATGGATGACCTGTTATATGTTTACATTAAAATGTCATAACATTCTTATTTGCACCTGTTGGTATCTTGCTACTTTTTAGTAGTAAATAAAAAAGATTAAGACACTAGTGAGTGAGAACTATTAATATCCATCGAAGATAATTCTGCTACCATTTCAAATTAGACATCTTTCTTTTCCATTGAGCCAAGTGATGTATTTTTTCAGCAAAACAAAAACTTGTAAACTAATAACACTCCGCAGATTTGCATGGAGTATGGAATAATTTCACATAAAATTAAAATATCAGAAATATTTAGATTTGGGATAAAATGTAATATAAATTAACAATGACAGTTATTTGTTCTATTTTCTCTCTAATTCTTCTATCTGCATACGTAAATTTTCTGCCCTGCCTTCTCCTTCACTGCTTTGTTAACTTCCTTTTCCTTCTCCTTCCTCTCCCCTCCTCTGAAACTTCCCTGAACCTTATTTCCTTCTCTCCTTTCCCTGAAACTTCCTCTCCCAGTGCAGGCTTGCCCCTGCAACACCATATTCAGTTAGAGATTCTTGTCGACAGAAGTGCTTAGGATAACACAGCCAGTTATGTGTGAGAAGCAGAAGTTGAACTTAGATCTTTGTGACTTCCAAGGTCAGCTCTCTAGTCACTATCCCACACTGCCTCTAGACTTAACAAATCTTGACTAGCATGCATATGTGTACGGAATAATAATGAACTTGAGTACTTTCTAACGTGCTTTACGTAGATTATTTTATTTTATTCTCACTGCACTGGGAAGTGTAGGTAGTCTAAACCTTTTTATCCTTAGTTTACATAAAATGAAATGGAAGCTGAGAGACTTGCCCCTTGTGGGAGAGGTGGGTTTCAAACCCATCTCTTAAAAATTCCTGGAATTGTCTTTCAGTAAAACTAAAAGTTTTGCTGAGTTGCTCCTCTCCCATTTCTTTTATACTCTTGGTTATAAGAGGTGGCTTATTGAATAAGGAAGGGAGGTCGAAACAAAACACAACAATAAATTTTTTAAAAATATAAATGTTTTAACTCTGAGGTACCACGTCACACCAGTCAGATTGGCTAACATGACAAAACAGGAAAATTATAAATGCTGGCGGAGATATGGGAAAATTGGAACACTAATACATTGTTGGTAGAGTTGTGAATTGATCCGACTGTTCTGGAGAGCAATTTGGAACTGTGCCCAAAGAGCTATAAAATTGTGCATATCCTTTTTTTTTCTTTTTTTTTTTTTAAAAGGTGAGGCAGTTGGGGTTAAGTGACTTGCCCAGAATCACACAACAAGTGAGTGTTATATGTCCGAGGTTGAATTTGAGCTCAGGTCCTCCTGACTCCAGGGCCGGTGCTCTATTTGCCTAGCTTCCCCTATATCCTTTAATCTAGCAATACCACTACTCGGTCTGTATTCCAAAGAGATCATCAAAAAGGTAAAAGGACCCACATATACAAAAATATTTATAGCAGCTCTTTTTTGGTGGCCAAAAATTGGAAATTGAGGGGATGCCCAGCAGTTGGGGAATCGCTGAACAAGTTGTAATATATCAATACAATGGAATACTATTGTGCTATAAGAAATGATGAGCAGATGGACTTCAGGAAACCTGGAAAGACTTCATGAATTGATGCTCAGTGAAGTTAGCAGAACCAGGAAAACATTGTACACAGTAACAGCCACAACTTGTGATGACTAACTTTATGATGACTAACTTTGATAGACTCATCTCTTCCTAGCAATTCAAGGATCCAAGACAGCTCCAAAGGACTCATGATGGAAAATGTTGTCAATATCCAGAGAAAGAACTATGGAGTCTGAATGCAGATCATAGCATATTATTTGTACTCTCTTTTTTCTTTTCTTTTCTTTTCTTTTCTTTTCTTTTCTTTTCTTTTCTTT